CCCGTCTGAGATCCACAGCACGGCGGCAGGGGCTGGGGCGGTGGCCTTCAGGGCGCTCACAACCTATCAAGAGATCGGGGGGATAGCCACCCTGAGCCTGAGCCAGACTCTCCCAGTCTGTCAGTGTCGGCGCCTCGCCCAGCAGGAGGGTCTGGGGACGCCGCAGCCGCCAGGACCCCCTCCACAATCACTCCCCGGGAAGGCAGCACGTCCAAGCCAGAGGAGCACGCACGCAGCCAAGCGGCGATCTTCACCGTGGCGCAGGACACCGGGGACTCGCAGCTACCACGTTCCCTGCATGTGTCAGAGGGCCAGCGAACGCTCGGGGCCGGCAGCCCGGCTCAGCCTGGACACAGTGGGACAGCGCTAGGACTCTGCAGTGTCGGAAACTCAGCCGCAGGGCGGTCCCAGAAGTGAAGGGGGGGCTGTTGTGCCCTCCACCCCCTCCTGGGCTCCCTAGAAGCCAGAGAAGTCATCCGAGCCCCAGCCGGCTGGCCTGCCTGCAGGGAGCAGCCCCAGGGCTAAAACAAACGTTGCCTGGGCCGATCAGGTCGCCTCCTTGAAGCCCCGGCTGTGCCTCGTGTTTACCATTGGACAGTGGCGGAATCACATTAGTGCCTTTGACTCGCTGGGCTCATTCGCTCCCCTGAAATGAACAGCAGAGGGAGACGGGCCCGGGGGCGCCGAAGAGAGGCGGGGGTCCCGCTCAGGAGGTGGAAGGGAACTAACTCAGGACGGATGGAAAGGGGGAGCAGGTGACTAGCAGCAGCAAAGGAAGAGACTTTGGGAACCTGGGCAGAGGAAGGAGCTTTGCTGAAGCTGGGAAGGAACCATTTTTCCATCCCCCACACAATGTTGAGATTACCACCTCTCAGCAGTAACAAGTGAGTCTGGGCTCTCCGCTTGGAAGACCGCGGCCCGCGGACGGCAGCGCACACTCAAACCGCTGATGTGCCTGCAACCGCCAGGAACGGAGTTTAACATCTGCGCGAAGAGAGGCGGGGGTCCCGCTCAGGAGGTGGAAGGGAACTAACTCAGGACGGATGGAAAGGGGGAGCAGGTGACTAGCAGCAGCAAAGGAAGAGACTTTGGGAACCTGGGCAGAGGAAGGAGCTTTGCTGAAGCTGGGAAGGAACCATTTTTCCATCCCCCACACAATGTTGAGATTACCACCTCTCAGCAGTAACAAGTGAGTCTGGGCTCTCCGCTTGGAAGACCGCGGCCCGCGGACGGCAGCGCACACTCAAACCAACCCCCTGCCTGCAACCGCCAGGAACGGAGTTTAACATCTGTGCAGAGGGACAGCCAGCCACGAAACCCACCCCAGCAGCATACAACTTCGCAAAGGCAACAACAGGCACACAAGAAAGCTAGTTACCTGGCTATTAAAGAGAGACAGCCACAGCAGCGAAATGCATGCCGGCTGTATAAACACACCATAAGAGGCAAGTTCAATGTATACACCAAAAGAAGAAACACACAAAATATAAACAGCAAGCCCACTAAAACCAGTGCCACCAAGGCCAAATGACAGACTAAAAGAGGCAGATCACAACACACAAAAGCTCTGGAAGTTAAATCACACAGAGGAAAACAGCAAGGAGCAGATACTCCAGCAAGTTGAAAGTAGAACTAGGCAAGAAAAAAAGTAAAAATAAAAAGGAATGTAAAGAGCAGCGAGCAAACGACACGAGAACCCAGGAAATCGGGGCCGGGAGCCTGTTCAGCAACCAGCGGACAGTCAAGATGCCAGAGTAGCTCTCAAGGGCAACAAGACCGTTTCGGAGAAGTTAAATACGTTCTTACAGAGGGCGTGGGGGAGACCCTCCCCCCATGCACCAGGGACCAATCTGCGGAGCTGCTCCAGACTGAGGTTTTGGGACAAACAGCAAACACCACACCAGGGCCAGATGCACCCCCCGAGTTCTGGAAGGACTCAAATGCACAGCTGGGGACCTACTAACTGTGCCTTGTAACCCAGCCTCGAAATCCACCTCCACGCACAACCTCTGGAGGGGAGCGAACGCTGGCTGTGAGAAATCGTCAGCTGTGATCCCGGCAATCGCATGCTGCTTAGCTTCACTTCAGCGCCAGGCGAGCTGGCTGCAGTGAAGAGAATCGTAAGGCAGATGAACTGCATCTGCCGGGGCAGAGCCAACATGGCTTTGAGCTCACAAGACTGGGCCACAAAAGGGCAGAGGACGTTCCGTGCTGATAAATGCAGAGTGATGCCTCCTGGAACACACGATCCCAGCCAGACGCTTCCAAGGATGGGGCCTAAATTAGCTGATACAGCGACGAGCCCGGCACCGCACCCTCCTCCAGCCAGCGGGCAGCTGCGCGAGGGGCGCCCTGCGGAAAGGCCCAAGGCGCTGGGAAGAGGCAGCAGATGCACAAGTCCCAGGCACTTACTTTCAAGATATGCCCAGGCACGTGGGTCTCTCTGGAGTCCGATTGTCTGTATTTCATCAAGAGGTTCAAAATCCAAGGCTGGAGGACATAGACTTTTGGGACTGACAGCTGCCTTCTTTCATCCTCCACCCTAAGCGAGGAGGAGCAGGGGTCAGGCTGAAGACAGGGAAGTCTGCAGCTTCCACACCACGGCATGTTGTGAGCAGTGGATGGGCCAGCAGGAGCTGGAGGCAGCTGCTCAGCACCTCTTAGGAAAGGTGGATCCGGAGGCAGCAGCTCAGCACCTCTTAGGAAAGGTGGATCAGTTCCCTTCCTGGGGCAGGGCCCTCCACGCAGCTCTCCCCAGCAAACCTTCCCTGGCTGCCCGGTTGCATCCCTAGTGCCTACAGCGGAACCCACCACAAAGGGCAGCCAGAGTCCCAGGCTTCCCCCAAAGCATCCGTCCTTAGAGCAAGGAAAGCCGCAGAGCAAGCTGCTGGACAGCTCCAGGGCTGTGGTTTGTGGTGGCGGCCAGGAGCCCTGCAGCGACTGACTGCACGGGAGGGTAGGAAACCCTCCTTGCTCGGGCCGCAGGGCGAGGGGCGAGCGCCTAGGAGGGCCAGCGGGGCGTCAGAGCAGCACGGCAGTGGCAGA